TTGATATCTATGGGTTTTCATAGATGGTAGGTTTGTTCGGTAGCTCATGGAGTACGGAAACGTACTTGAGAGGTGAGGAGCTCTGGTTTGAATCCCATGTGACTACGGTTCGACAAAACTATTCAAATCTGCATATAAGGAAGTTCAAATGGTACGGTTGCATCAACAAATGCATTTTTATATCAGTTTTGCTTTTGTTAACACTATCGGGTAGATTTAGGGTTGGGTTTGGTGTAGGGCATATTTCCAACACGATAGAGCATTAACTTTTAGCGACAGTCCCCGGATATTTGAATTCTGAACCGCCGCAATACGTACCTGAAGCAACGTAATAAAAACACAGCAATACGTACCAATATCAACGTAATAAAAACGTGCCAGGGTTCACGTATTGAACCCGTGTTTTAGCGCCACTCAGTGGACATTTCTCTTTGAAACTGCGGCGAAACGTGCAGTAAGGTACGTAAAAACGGTGTTGCAGAAAAGTACCCAGAGGTACGTATTTTTATTAAATATACATGCCTAAGCCTAATCATTTTTACAAATAGGCTACATATGGTAAAATAAAAAGAATAATACAAATACTATGAAAGTATTGTATATAATAATCTGAAATGTTTTAATATGACATTAGTTTGTGATGTTACGTGTTATTTATTGTGTCTCGCTCCTTATAACGTTCTGGGACTGTCAGTTCAGCGGCAAGATCACAGCGCATCTCAATTCTCACAAAGATGCGTTCTGTGTTCTCTTGCTTTCAAGGTAGCCTGGCAAGACCGATGTCCACGAGAACACAAGTCCGTTCTTTGCATTCTTGGAATTGAGAAACAGCCAATCTCTGCCCCGAACACTTTGATTAGGTGGTTCAGGTGTGTTTGATTGAGATTTGAGTTGAACTTTGAAGGATGGTAGGTCTCCAGGAGCAGGGTTAGCTACACCTGCTTTAGACATAAAGGGCCACATCTTGATGTTGACCCTCTCATCTAAACACTCATTAGATGTATTTTCCCTCCTATCTCCTAAGGTCAGTGACTGAGCAATGCCTGGTCGTGCCAACACAGCTAGGCTGCTTTCTAAACCCATCAAACTCACTGCCTTTAACAGAGGCATGAACTTCCAACCATCACTTGAGCAGCCAAATCCATTTAACTTGCAAAATTTAACAGCCATTTAACTGTTTAATCACACACACAAAAAAACAAAAGTGTGCATTAAGCAAGTGAATGTGGTCAGTTTTGAATTCTTGTTAACCCATAGCTTTCACCACTGCTCTGTACTTCTGCTCTAGCTATTGAAATGTATGGTAGCACTGCTTCTTGTTTCCACCTTTGGATTACTAGCTTCTGCTTGTATTATTATCGTAAGTTGCTTTTGTTAAAATAAATATTAACTAAATAAATGTAAATTGTAAATGAATAATGATGGATCAGAATGTTGACATTTGGGAACAGTTCTTGGGGACTTCTCTGGGCATGAATCTCTCCTTGGCATCACATCTGTAGAGGACTGTATTTAGGCTACTCACTATATCATGAGCTCATCATGTCCTTACATTAACATATGACCTTTGGCCCCTAGGTCCTAAGGAATTGTGCATCTTTACTAAAAGTATTTTACTTTCATACTGTACTACTAAGGTTGTAAAAAAGGTTGTTTTTGACCACCGCAAACCACTAAATAATATGCATGAACATTTAAAACGTTATTTAATATTAATTTCTTGTTTGATTGTTTAGGCAAAAAAAAAAAAAGAGGATAATTAAAATTTTTATTATTTTCCACAAGCTAAATATGGAATTGTCACATGTGCTCATCAGGTCCTTATTTGGACATGCTCGTATATGTTCGTGAAATCCATGAGACCATAGGGTGCCCATTTGCTATTTAATGATTCCCTTTTGTAAAATGATTAAAAGTGATTTCTTGATCAGCTTGCATCTGGTGAGAAGACATTTGAACAAGAACCAATATCTTTATGCATAAACTCCATTGCATGATGGAAAGCACTATTTGTTTGGCTGGAGAATGAATCAGATAACCTGCAGCAAAGGTGAGGTAAAATCAGTGGATTGGCACCACAATTCATCAAAATATACATCTTCGTATGAATAGTTGATATGATAAATGTTGCCTTGAGAAAGAAAACAAATTGCACTTTATTGCATGGTTTTTACTGTCATTAAGCTGCTAATGTTTTGTTCAGTACTAATGTTCCGTTTCTTGTAATGCAAATTAAATACAAATATTTATATCCAGCTCTAATGTCTTTACTTGGAGCCGACTTTACTTTACACGGTGACATCAGATACAGATTCATCCTCCCATGGAAATTATGGTATCCTTCATAAAGCCTTTGATCCAGACACAATGCACAAGTCTAAAAACAGCTCTGCTGGGGCTCTAGAATCATCAGCTGAACAAAAGACCTGTGCATTGCAAACTGAAATCAGTCAATTCATGTTAATGTCTCAACTGGCTGCTAGTTGCTGCCCAGAAATGGAGTAAATGTTTGAGGAAAAAAAGCTTCTTTTCAGAACAGCTGAATTTCATCAGATGATATTTAGCTGATGTAGGTGATGATGCTGATGTAGGTTTTACTCAACTCTGCTGAGTTGAGTAAAACACCTGTCATCAGAGCACATGCAGTCATTGGTGACACACCATCAGTGATCTTTATACTACATTTGTTTGTTTGACATATCTGTGAACTGTGGAATGAGACCTTATTTTGTGAGGATAAAAGTGAATACAAGAACACATGGCCGTCCATATTTACAGTACAAGTCAGTGATAGACTAGGAGATCAGAAATTATGCCCATATAGTCACAGTGAGGAAATAAGTAGAAAGCAGGATAGATAAAACAATTCCTAAATACAAGAATAACTAATGAGAAGAGTGAAATTTGTGAAAGTTTGCCAGACGTTGTATTGTTTCTGACTTTGTGGCGCACAGCTCTTCATTCTGACAATTCTTTATGTTAAAACAGCATAGCATCAAGAATGGTGCATTTAAATCTAAGGGTACCAGAAAACACTTTACTATTATTATTAAAATTAAATATTAAATTATAATATAAAAGAACCCATTTAAAATAAAAAGGGCATTTTTTCCCCTCTTTCTTGACTGGATCAAACAATTATGATCATGCAACCTTATGATTTGATCTGTTAAACTGATATTCAATTCTTTGTAGAAAATGTTTATTAATTGTAGTAAAAAAAAAAAAATGCTATTTAGCTCTAACTCACATTTCGTGCTAAACCTATTCGATTTTGCCCAAGGAACTGACATGATTTGGAAACTGTTGGGACAATAAAGACAATAAATACTATTATAATACTGTTGTTTTTCTATTTTCTGTTTTCAGACATTTCCAAAATTTAGCAAAATAGTAAACCTCATGTAAAAAACAAACAAATAAATACAAACCAGTTAATTTATTATTTAGTTTGACTTCCTAATATTTCTGAAGGTTAAGCACCTGCAATGACTAATACTTGTGGGAAAAACAAAAATATTTTACAACACCTGTATAAAGCATCAGTAAATCTCTCTGCTACTTTTGACACTTTTCATGAAATGCTTCATCATTTATCTCTGGCAGTATTTTTACAGTCTACTACATCTATGGATAATGATCCTCCTGTTGTACTCTGCTGCTTTCTGGGAGTATAGCTTGTCTGACAACAGTGAATTGGGAAAGATTTTCCTCTGTATCCTCTGGAAGAGCACACCCTGGGCCTCTCTGGCCTGCACATCAAAGTTTGAGAGTGAGCTGGCCAGGGGTTTAGATCCCCTGCACCTGCTGCTTACTCTTGGCCAACTCAAATACATTATTCCGCCTGCAGAGCAACTTAATGGCTTCTGTGGGGAGCTGGAAACAAACAGCTACGGTAAAATCGCCCCCTGTCCTGTGGCAGGAAGTGCTCCATGCATGCACACTCTGGTACGTCACGAAAAACTAAGGTTGATTGATGACCCAAGTATAAACTCTGAGTAATTCTTAAACTTGGAATGTTTAATAAACTCTGCGTAGGTATATGCACAACTTTCCAGACTGGGATGCTGTCATTTGTAAAACAAGCCATTACAATTGCATATACCAATGAACATCTGGCGTTACAGCGTCTTTGCTGTTGCACCATTAGGTAGTCTATGCTCTCCACTGAGCAGGCAGAGCCGTTTGGGTTGGACAGGTATCAGTACTAAGCAGTGAACAAATCATCGCTAAGAAAAACAGAATACATCTGTTTGGAGACTTGGCGTCCTCTCTCTGGCATAGTCACACTTGACTTCAGCAAGGCAGGGCTGTTTTCCATGAGAGTAGCAAAGTGACAACATCTGCAATTTCTTTTAAAGAGGAAAATAAAAACAAACCATGATGCAAGTAGGCTACTTAAGTGCCTTGCAATATGTATAAACAGAACCAAAGGGACGACCTCAGAGTTTCCTCAGCCATCAAGTTAATGTCAACTAGCACGGTGACCTTTCTGAACAGTGTCATCTCTTCTCTGGTTTAAAGATGAGGCATGTAAATGTTCAGCCAAGACCTTAAAATTTACTGGCCTTTCTTGGCATTCATTTGGTTGTACTGTGAGAGAAGTGTGCCACCCACCTTCAGCGAAAGAAAGGCATGAGGGGACTGAATTGATCATATATTGAAGAAATTAAAAATGTAAGAAGTCAACATGCTGTAAAGCAAAGGACCAGAGGCTGTTTTTATTAGAACTGTTTTCAGCCAAGTCACATCAGGGAATGACATGTGATAGCTTCTCGCCATTAGATACATCACAATCCTGCACACTCCCTGTGTGATACGCCACAGGTTGTTCTGTACATCCTTTATATAATCATATACATTGTCTGTTCATCACAGCTGTTTATCTGCTTAAGGAACAGCCCTAAGGACACTTACTTCAAACCTCAAAGATTTTAGCTCCTTGCCGCCGTCGCCTCTGGCCTCTGGCTTATGCACTGAAATGACTCAATTCAGCCGGGATGCCCTTCAATCCCCCACAATCCAAAGACATGCAGGACAAGGTGAATTGGACACTGTAAAATTCCCGTAGGTGGAAGTTAGAGTATGACTGTATGTGTGTCTGTTAGTTCCATGATGGACGGGCCATCCATCCAGGGTTTTTCCCTTACTACAACCCAAGCCCCATGGGATAGGCTCCAGCATCCCCATGACCCTACATAAAACAAGCAGTTTGGAGAATGGATGGATGGATGGACAGAAATATGATAATATTTACAAAACCGACCATATTTACATTAAAGGGGTCATATGGTGCGATTTCAAGTTTTCCTTTCTCTTTGGAGTGTTACAAGCTGTTCGTGAATAGATAAGATCCCTAAAGTTGCAAAGGCTAAAGTCTCAAACCCAAACAGATATTCTATATAAAAGTTAAGACTCGTCCACTCCCTCTTAAAACGCCTCGTTTAAACACGCCCCCACATGTCTACGTCACTGTGTGGGAAGATTTGCATAACACTGCCCAAATGTATAAACAAAGAAAGAAGGCGTAACTTTGATTCTCTCTGTAGTATTGTTGCCGCCGCCATGTCGTGGAGATGCTGTGTGTTTAGTTGTGAAAGCGAAACTACATTGTTTGGTCTTCCAAAAGAGGACACAACTAGAAATCAGTGGTTAAGTTGTATTTATAACACTGTTCCAGAACACTTCAAACCAAATATTCAGATGTGTGCAACAAATTTTACAGAGGACGAGGACTGTTTCCTGGGAGAGTAGCCTACAATGCCGGTGTTCCGGTGAATTCAGTTCCCCTGTTTCCCCTTCGGCG